AGTAAAAAAAAAATAGATATACTTAATATCAACCCACCTTTTACTCATTTATCCTTTTGTATTTATTTATAGGGATGCGCGTTAATTCGGGACGCCCATGGGCGTTAATTTGAAACCACATATACTATTTTAGGGATATCTGATTTTCGAATTAACGCCCCTGGGCGTTATTTCGCGCTTATACGGTATGTACTAAGGTGTTCGACTAAAATGAGATTTGCTTTATTATTAATTTTTAAAGGTGTCCGTAAAACTGATTCGCTTAATTATAAAAAAGCCAGATTCGCAAATCATATAAATAAAATTTTTATAGCGGGGACCTATAATAAAGATTTCCCGGTCCTGGCTGCGGTAAAGAAGTATATTTAGTCCTTTTGATCTCTTGCTTATCATCTAAATCATGTCCTAGGATCAAATACATTGATTCTTTATTCTTGCTAAAAAACAAAATTTTAAATAAAGCTAGTTTGATATTCTTTTAAGAATTCTATTTTAACTTTGCTCAAGCTATTTATAGATTGTTTCTAAATCATTTTTTTAGGAAATTCAGACATCTCGAATTCTCAATGACAAGGTAATCTGCATCCGTTCCGTTGCAATTCTGAATTTTAAATAGTATATTTTTATTGATTCGAATTTACTGAATAATCGTAACTTATTATTGACGTTTTAAGATAAAAATTCCTACCAAATAATATCAATACACTTTAATCTCGTTTTGACCTGGGCGTAGACGCATTATGTAATACGAAACATGACTAAGCCGCAAGGCCGAAAACCTTGAATGCGCATTGATCGACATGGGTGAACTACTAATACGGATCAAGTATGAGGAGATGCCTCTTTGTGATGGCTCATGGGTCTTGTTAGCCATGAAATTCCTTGATAGCTAAAAATAATTAATGAATTTAAGTCACGGATTAGATAGTATTTCAATATACGGAGCAGGCGACGGTAATATAATAGTAATACCAGATATAGAATTGGAAGCTGTTTTCGATTTAGTTCGATATACATAATTTTTTTGAGCCCCTGATTCCACTTTATATACATAATCATCGTATTATTTATGAATTCTAAAATGAGCCCCACATATGACAAAATTGAAGTGATTCACTTACGTATTGTAATCACATGACTCACGGGAATCAAAAAAAATTATGCAGATCGTCGATCCAACTAAATCGAAAACAGCTACGTATAATAATAACGATAATAACTTCGAATATTATTTATTTGCCTTTTCTTCTTATATAAAGAGACGATTGATTGAAAGTAGATTTCTTGGAAGATCCATTAACCAAAATAGATTTATAATTTTAAATTATTATAACAAAGAAATTAAGTCATCATCAATAAACAACGTTGAAACAGGTCAAATATTGTGTCACAGAATAACATGTTTGATCCGGAGTTTATAATTTTTAATCCGATCTATTTGTATTACTACATAAAAAGCTTCTGATTTTCTCTAATTTTAGAAATACAAAGAAAGTTTAATGTAACAGTAATATCATCAAATGAATACCCGGAAATGAATAATATTTCCAATTTTATACAATATAAAAAAAGAAGTTTGATAATAAAATTTTTTTGACTCCTGTTTTTCTAAAGATTATTTGGTAATTATTCTCATTTACGTATAAATATTTGAATCACATGAAGTTTGATTTAAAGTTAAATTTTTTCTAAAATGCAATTTTAAAGGGTTGTTTTATATATATATATAACGGTGATAGTAATCGTACGTTCTACGTACGTAAACTGTATGTTTTCACTTTTTTTTTTTACTATTAAATTTTATCGTGTTGTAAATCAGTAAATTACATTAACTTAATAAATAAATATTACCAGATTTTTTATAAGCCATCACTATGAGTAATTCTTCACCATTTTGTTCATTCCATCCTGATGAAAGATACACAACTCGTATCAAAAATATTTTAACCGAATATCCGGATGGATCTCAAATTCTTAGGGAAATTTTACAAAATTCTGATGACGCGAAAAGCACAGTACAAACTTTCATTTTAGATCATAATACTTATCCTACCGAAAAGTTATGTGATTCAAGACTTGATAGATATCAAGGTCCCGCGCTTTTGGCTATTAATGATAGTATTTTTCAACCTGATGATTTTAAATCTCTGTTAAGTTTGGCCAATAGCGAAAAAAGGAATAAATTTGATAAAATTGGAGGTATTTATAGTTTCTATACATGCTAGATAATTTTTATATATATTTAGCGTTGAAAGTTTTTTAATGATTCTAATAAATAAATTTTATATTAATAGTAATGGGTATCGGATTTAATTCAGTTTTTCATATTACTGATGTCGCATCCATTATTTCTGGATCATCTTACGTTCTTATTGATCCTCATGCGCGTGGATATTGTAATTTGCCACCCGGTCAACGAGGTTTCAAGGCAGATTTTGTGGAGTATGATCTAGTTAAAAATGTAAATTTTACACCGTTTACTGACTGTATACAATGCATTCATTTCTAGTTTATAATTAGAAATAATTTATTTTCTATTTATTACTGTAGTACCCCGATCAATTCAAGCCATTTTCAGTAGCTTTAAATAATACCCTCGATGGATTTTATAATGGAACAATATTTCGATACTCCCTTAGAACGGAAACAGACGCTGCTGAATCAGAAATTTCCAATAAAATATGCCAAATTAAAAAAATGGAAGAATTATTCAAGACATTTTATCATGTTGATAATATTACCTGTCTCATGTTCTTAAAATATATTGAAAAGATAACGTTTTACGAGATTAAAAAAGGACATACAATTCCTGAACTCTTGTATAAAATTGATATCACCAATGCTAAAGAAATATCAAATAAGAGAAAGTTATTAGCAAATAATATAATGTCTATGATAACTTCTCCATTAACATCTGGAACTTTTGAAACTATTTATAAAATGAAATTTTGTCAAAGTTCCGCTCAAGGTAATAATATTAGTGAATGGCTAATTATCAATTACATTGCTGATGTAAATGATGAAAATTATATCAAATTTAAAACTTATATTCGTGATTGTAAGTTTGTGCCAAATGTTGGGTTAGCTGCACGAATCGATGATGTATCAAAGAACTTAGGAAAGCTTTACTGCTTTTTACCTTTACCTGGAAATAAGGATGACTTTTCTGTTTCTATTAATGGATGTTTCGCTGTTAGTAAAAATAGAAGGCACTTGGAAGCTTCTATGGATGATGATCTGGTATTTATTATTATATTTTATAATTATTACTATTATTATTATTATTATCGCATTAGTCTATTTATTTATAATAAATTATTAACGCCAATATACTGAACTTTATATATATATATATATTTAGGCTCCAGGTGATCTATTACGTCTCAAAGGTGCTTGGAATAAATATTTATTTGAAAAGGTTATTCCGATAGCATGGAAAAAACTTTTATCACAAGCAGCAGAAAATGTATCATTTGAACAAATTTATACACTTTGGCCAATTCCTAAAGATGGACTCTCTCAAAGATTAGACGAAAACAGTTGTTTGTGGGCAAATCTTTTACAAAATGTTATCAATCAGATTGATCCTAAACTTTACGTTTTTCGTGGTCCATCCAAATATTTATCAATAAATGATGGATACTTAATTGATAAGAAATTTGTCAAATCAACAATTCTATCTGAAATATTGACTAAATTGGAGTTTCCTATTTTTGTGAATACTCCAGAATCTATTGTTAGTAAATTGGAACAAAATGTCTCGAAACATAAAAGAATTTTGAAATATATTACTCCAGAAATTGTTTGTGAATATATTCATCTTAGTATAAACAGGTTAAATAATCTTGATCGTCAAGAAAAATTAATTTTATTGGAATATGCTCTTGGAGTTAATGACATTTCTAAACTTCATGGTCTTCCTCTACTTCCAATTGGAAATCAAACCTTTGCTACTTTTAATTCACATCAAAATCGTAATAAATTTTATATAACTAGTCAAAATGAACACACACTTCTTAATGATGATCATCTAGGAATAATTGTAGATACAACAATCGAAGAGAAACTTTTACAGACATTGCAAAATTATGCAAAAAATAATGAGAATATCAATATTCGAATTCTTTCAGAAGTCGATTTTGCAGAATTGCTTAAAAAATCGGTGCTATTACATCAAAAATCTTCCGAAAATTCTCAAGAAATGATAATGGAAAAGAATAAAATGCAATGGATTTACAAGATTTGGGATCATTTACAACAAACTGATAGAGACCTACAAAATTTTTCGGATATTTATCTTTTACCAATTGACAATAATGACAATAATATCGATAATGATAATATTATTTTGAGGAAACTAAGTACATCACCAAAATGTCTACGTCGTTTATCAAGTAAATCAACCTCATTTCTTCGGGATTTAATTCCAACGTTAATATTATTGGGTTCAACATTCGTGGATGTTGAATTTGAAAATAAAATAGTTTCAAAATATGAAAGGTATGTCATATATAATAAACTTATTTAAATTTTATAATAACATAAATAAAATATATAAATGCTAAATATACATATCACTTTTAGGCTTAGAAACTATGTAATTGAGATTAATAATGTTACGGCCGTCTTCTCATCTTTCAGGGAAAACTCTTCTTTCCCACTAAACATCACTCAATCTGTTTTTTCAGATTCTCAGAAAAAAGGGTTAATTAGTTATATTGGTGCTTATTTGCGGCATGAATCTTCTTTTGATCAGAAAATAGTAGATGTTATCAAGTACATTCCAATATTTAATCAAATAAATAGTGATAAATCTATAAGCATTAATTCATTAGAAGTTTCTGGAAAGAATTATTATTTACTTCCCAAACAAGAAGAATTATCATGCGGGATCATTATTTCACCTTTTGCATTTTTGGAAGCTCACACATCTGATGATATTCGGTTTATTCTTGAGAAAATAATTAAAGTTAAACGATTAGATCAATTAGAATATTGGAAAGATCATGTCATTTCATATTTAGATTCTCAATCTCCTGATATTATGGATCAAGTAATTGTAATGCTTTTTGAGAAATGGAAAATTATTAAACCTTTTCTCAACGATCTTTCCAAAATAGCATTTGTTAAAACTTCTTCAGATCGGAAAAAGCCAATCGAAGTTTTTGATCCTGATATTGTTTATATCAAAAATTTATTCTTTACAAATGAACCATTCTTTCCTATAAAAGATTATCCAACTCAAGATTATCTTTTTAAATTACGTGAATTGGGAATGAAAAGATCAATGACTGGTACAGATCTTATTGATCGAATAGAAAAATATAAATCAAGATTATGTGAAGATGAGATTGTTTTTGTTCACAATAAATCATTTTTACTTTTAAAATATATTGATGAACATTATCAAGATTTGAAAGATGATATTTTATTACGAGAAAAGCTTCAAACAGAAACATGGATTCCAACTTTAACCTCAGAATCAGATAATAAACGTACCTTCTCAAAAGCTTCAGATTGTCGAGATAATTTATATAAAGATTTAATTTCATATACAATGCCAATAGTTGATTATATGATCGTTAACGATAAATTACGTCAGTCTCTTGGATGGGATACTATTCTACCCACAGAAATTGTAATAAAACAATTATTACATTTGGTAAATTTAATGAATCAACCAAGAAAGCATTTGATGAATAATCTTAGAAATCGAATAAATGCAAATTACAAACATTTCAATAAAATAATTAATCAACCAGATGGAGAAATTCATTTAGCAATTTTAAAACAAAATTTAGCAAAAGAACAGTGGATTCTGAATGAGTTAGATGATAGTAATATCTACACAATCGATGAAGTGGTATTTTCTCTTCCTAATTTTATTCCGAGTGGTTATTGGGTTCCGATTTCTCGGTATAATAGAGTGAATTATTCGACACTCTTTGAGAAGCTTGGTGTTAAAAAAACACTTGATATCCAAGATTTTATTCGAATACTTCAAAATGTTAATTTTTCAAGTCCTAGACAAAGAGTCAATATAATAACTATAATTGATGTATTGTCAAAAAGTAAAGAGGATTTAACAGGATTATTAATTCCAAATATGAATTGTAAAATGGTAGATTATAAAATCGTTTTATTTGATGATATGGGTTCAAGAGTTAATGACGCAATGAAAGATTTTAATATTATAGCCCATTCAGAAATTTCAAAAAATTTAGCAAAAAGGTTAAAACTTAAAAATTTAAGCGAAGTTTTGTTAAAAAATTTGAAATTTGATTTTGGACAAAATGAACAAGTGACTACAAGACTGAAAAATATTCTTAGGGTATGTACAAAATTGTCTTATCAATAGTAAATTGACTTACTTTCTTCATTACTTAATTTACTTACTTTAGTTTACTTAATAATTTACTTTAGGATTATGATCGTAAAGAAATGGTCTTTCGTGAATTTCTTCAAAATGCAGATGACGCACGTGCTACTCGATTCTGTATTATTCTTGATGACAGTGAATATTCAACTAATACATTATTAAATGAAACATTGAAATGTTGGCAAGGACCTACCATATGGATATATAATGA